GATCCTAGGCTCAAATCCCTAGGATGAAACACACACAAATTTTTCTTGTGAAAAAATACAAAAATTCACAAAATTGGAACAGAGGTGACACAAATACTAGAAACTAGGCAACACATATTAAAATACTATGAAAAACTGCGACAATAATTTTGAAACTTAGAATACTTTCAAGCCAGGCATTAGTGGCAAAAGACTGCAATCCCAACTATTCTGAAGGTGAAGGCAAGAGGATCATAGGTTCAAGTTCTGCCTGGGCTACAGAGTAAATTAAATGCAAGCCTGGGCAATTTAGTGAGACCCTATCCTTTGGTTTTGTTTCTTGTTTTGTTTTGTTGAAATAGGGTCTCATATAACTCAAGCTGGCCTCAAGCTCATTGTGTAGCTGAAGATGAACTTGAACTCCTGACCCTTTACTTCCACCTCCTGCTTGTAGAAACTACAGTTATGTGCCACCAAGCCCAGCTCTGAGAACTTGTCTTAAAATAAAAAGGAAAAAAGGGCAGAGGATATAGTGCAGTGGTAAAGTGCCAGCTTGCCGACCACACATAAGGCTCTAGATTCAATCTCTAACACTAAAATAACCAAACTAACAAACCATTCATTCCATAGAGGGTGAAAAAAATCCCACACCATTTTATGGGCAATTTCTATTAATTTTTCAAACACCAAGTATTTCTATTCTTCTTTTTTTTTCTTTTTAGACAGGGTCTCCCAGTAGCCCCAGCTATCCTGGAACTCACTAGGTAGACCAGGCTGGCCCTGAACTCAGAGATTCGCTTTCCTCTGCCTTCCAAGTGCTAGGATTAAGGTGTGTACCACCACACCCCGCCTTGACCAAAATTTTGTAGAAACTATGAAGGAGGACTATAATTTATGTTTTGTTTTGTTTGTTTTTTTTAATCTCTGTATGTAGCACAAAATGGCCTCAAATTCAAGGTCCTCCCTCCTTAGCCTCTTGGACACTGTGATTACATACATGAGCCATCATACTAGGCTGGAGCCTAGGTGATCTTGACACCAAAAGTGGAAGACAGGATGAAAAAGATAAAACTGTTAAGCTAATTCCACTCATGAATACAAATGCCAAAATCTTGAATAAAATACAGACTATGACAGGTTAGGATGTGATAAAAGTGGTACTTGTGGTACAGTCTTAGAATACTTTCATAATAACCTCAATAAATGAGTAAGGAAACACCACACAACCTCAAGTTGAGAGACACTCCACAAAATTCCTCACTAGTACTTTTCTTTTTTGTCTTTTTGAGACAGGGTCTCCCTGTAGCCCCAGCTGGCCTGGAACTCACTATGTAGACCAGGCTGGCCTCGAACTCACAGAGATCAGCCTGCCTCTGCCTCCCGAGTGCTAGGATCAAAGACATACACCACCAGGCCCAGCTCTAGTACTTTTCAAAGTGTACTAGTCAGGTAAACAAAATACCTCACTGGTACTTTTGAGTAAACATAAAAAACGAAACACTCACAGGTCAGAAGAGACTAAGGAAACATGAGAACTAAATTGACCTGGGATCTTGGGTAGAATCCTGGACCAGAAAAAGGCCATCAGTGGAAAAACTCGTACTAGATAAGATCTGTAATCCAGGTAATGTAAAGTCTTAGTTTTGCCAAATGCACCAGTAGTATGTAAGATGTTAACTTTAGGGGAAGCTGAGTGAAAAGTCCTCTGTAATTTCTTTGTAACTTTTCTATTAATCTAAAATAATTTCAAGACAAAAGTGTATGTGTGTGCACTACTATCCTCAGGCCTCTTGGGGTAAGTCTATAGCGCAGCTCTCCGCGCCGAGACTCCCTAAGCCACATTCACCCTTCCATCCCCCTGCCATTCTATACCCCTAGTTTGGGCCCTGTGCCATTCCTAGTCTTGGGGCCCCAGACACTTGGGAACCAATACTGCTTCCTGATCCTTCTCACCCAGACCAACTCACTCCCTAGACAAAAGTGTATGTGTGTGCACTACTATCCTCAGGCCTCTTGGGGTAATTCTATAGCGCAGCTCTCCGCGCCGAGACTCCCTAAGCCACATTCACCCTTCCATCCCCCTGCCATTCTATACCCCTAGTTTGGGCCCTGTGCCATTCCTAGTCTTGGGGCCCCAGACACCTGGGGAACCAATACTGCTTCCTGATCCTTTTCACCCAGACCAACTTACTGCCTTCCTTGGGCCCCAGGAGCACTGCTTCTGGACCTGGCCCCGCCCTCACCTCCCTCTACTTCCCTGGTCCTGCAACACCCGACAGCCTCTTTCTGGGGCTGACAGCCTCTTACTGGGGGCTCCGAGGCTTACCTTTACTCTCCCTGATCCTTTGCATACAGTACAACCCAGCTACTCAATCCACTCCCTGGGAAATCTTGGGGCTTCTTCCCTCCCCATCTGCTTTTG